CATGCTTTAGTCAAGTAAGAAGAACTAATTAGGTTTCAATTCAACTGATTTTAATTAAAAAAAAAACATTCATGGTGCAACATTGCCATCTGCTGGCATTTATGTAAACCGTGACTTGAGCAAGCAGCTGTGATGTCAGCTGCAGGGGCACCTCCAGAAAATCTTGATGGGGTGGCCGGATGGGGCCAAAGAAATTTTTGGGGTGGCACACCAAAATGGTCCTTGTGGTAACTCTGGTTGAATTTAGTTTGTGGTGATGTACTGCATTGCACCTTTGTTTGTTTTTATTAAAATAACTGTAGTTATCCAAAACATTTAACAAAAATTTTACAAACACAAAAATTTTAGAAAAATACATTTAAGTTATTTAAAATGTTATCCCAAATTTAATAAAAAAATAGGTTAATTCACCTGTTGCTGTATTAAAAAAACAATGGAGATAAAAAATACTTTTTTAAAATGGTGAGCAGCAGAAAAGTGTATTGTTTAAAATTCTGATTATTTCTTTATGCATTAATTGTAATATTTTTTTACAGTTATGTTTTGAATAAACAAGATCAATATATGGCTTGACTGAACATTAATATGATTTGTTAACATTGGCTTTTACTGGGGGGCCAGCAATTTTCTAGGGGTGGTCATGACCACCCCTGGCCACCACTTGGGGGCGCCATTGGCCACTTGTCCACCATTCTACCAAACATCTATAGCAGGGCTCCTCCAAGGCCCCACTCCTGCTCATTTCAGAAGCTTCCTCGTTCCAACACACCTTATTTAAATAGATGAGTCAACAGGAGAAGGAGGTGCAGCAGATGGAGGTAGTGTTCAGCAAGTGGAGATGATGTTATCAGAGTGTTTCAGCTCCTGTCTCGAGCTATTAGACTCCCAGCAGAGACCATTTGAGGCCTGGATTTCTGACTTACAAGTATTGTTAACCTTTGACCTCTTCAGGGACAACATGAAGACTGCAGCAGCAGAAGTGTGTTGATGACAGACGTCCTTTTAGTCGTCTAAAATCTCTGACATCTTGTTTGAGCTGGTTTTTCCCATCTGGAGGAAGAACAGCTCTCAGATCCCCCCTACTGACTCCTAGGATAAAGTCAGGCCAGGGTTCCAACACGAGGTTCTGAAGTGGCCTAGCCAGTTTCCAGACCTCAATCAAATAGAGGATCTGTGAAGGGAGTTGAAAGTATGTGTTGCCTAGCAACAGCCTCCCAAAAAGATGACAGCTCTAGAGAAGATTTACATGGATGAAAGGGCCAAATTATCAGCTACAAAGTGTAAACCTGGTGAAGACCTACGTGAGACATTTGACCTTCGTCATTGCCAACCAACCAAGGTTACATCACAGAGTATTGAGAGGAACCTTTGTTACTGAGCAGATACTTATGATGATGATGATGACAGACCTCTCATCTTTTAAAGTGGGACAACTTAAACTTGAACCTGAACTTGGCCACCAAATACTTTGTTGCCCAACTGAACAATTACAGAATTCCCACGAAGACAGATATGAGATCTTTCCAACAAATTCTTCTCTCTGAGTCCCTTTAGACCTTCGTCTTCGTCTTCCTCCGCTTATCCGGGTCCTCCTCGGAATGCGCATTGGTGGGATTGAGGAGCTCCTCAAAGTATTCCTTCCACCGTCCGACTATAGCCTCAGTTGACGTCAGCAGCTCCCCATCCCCACTGTAAACAGTGTGAGTGAGTTGCTGCCTTCCTCTCCTGAGGCGCCGGACAGTTTGCCAGAACCTCTTTGGAGCCGATCGATAGTCTTTCTCCATGGCCTCACCAAACTCCTCCCACGCCCGAGATTTTGCCTCGGCAACTGCCACTGCTGCACCCCGCTTGGCTATCCGGTACCTGTCTGCTGCCTCCGGAGACCCACAGACCAGCCACGCCCTGTAGGCCTCCTTCTTCAGCCTGACGGCTCCCCGAACCTCTGGTGTCCACCAGCGGGTACGGGGGTTGCCACCACGACTGGCACCGGCCACCTTACGACCACAGCTAGCAACAGCCGCCTCGACAATCGCAGAGTGGAACAAGGCCCACTCGGACTCAATGTCCCCCACTGCTCTCGGGACGTGGTCAAAGCTCTGCCGGAGGTGGGAGTTGAAGACCGTCTTGACAGGTTCTTCTGCCAGGCGTTCCCAGCAGACCCTCACTATGCGTTTGGGTCTGCCAGGTCTACGCGGCATGTTCCCTTGCCATCTGATCCAACTCACCACCAGGTGGTGATCAGTTGACAGCTCCGCCCCTCTCTTCACTCGGGTGTCCAAAACATACGGCCGCAGGTCAGATGATACGACTACAAAATCTATCATCGACCTGTGACCTAGGCTGCCCTGGTACCAAGTGTACCGGTGGGCATCCTTATGTTCGAACATGGTGTTCGTTATGGCCAAACTGCGGCTTGCACAGAAGTCCAATAACAAAACACCGCTCGAGTTCAGATTAGGTGGGCCGTTCCTCCCAATCACACCCCTCCAGGTCAAGCTGTCATTGCCCACGTGAGCATTGAAGTCCCCCAGCAGGACAATGGAGTCCCCTGATGGAGCACTATCTAGCACTCGTCCCAGGGACTCCAAAAAGGGTGGGTACTCTGAACTGATATTTGGCCCATAAGCACAAACAACAGTCAGGACCCGTTCCCCGACCCGAAGGCGCAAGGAAGCTACCCTCTTGTCCCCCGGGGTAAACCCCAACACGCAGGCAGAGAGTCTCGGGGCTAACAAAAAGCCAACCCCAGCCCTCCGCCTCTCACCCGGAGCAACTCCAGCAAAGTAGAGTGTCCAACCCCTCTCCAGGTCTCGGGTTCCAGAGCCAATGCAATGTGTCGAGGTGAGTCCGACTATATCTAGCCGGTACCGCTCAACCTCTGCCACAAGCTCCGGCTCCTTCCCCGCCAGCGAGGTGACGTTCCATGTCCCAAAAACTAGTTTTCTTGTCCGGGGATTGGACCGCCAAGGCTCCCGCCTTGGTCTGCCACCCGATTCGCATTGCACCGGACCCTTCATGTTCCTCCTGCGGGTGGTGGGTCCACAGTTGGACGAGCCCATGTATCCGGTTCGGGCTGGGCCCGGCCGGGCCCCATGGGCGAAAGCCCGGCCACCAGGCGCTCGCTCACGGGCCCCAACCCCAGGCCTGGCTCCAGGGTGGGACCCCGGTAACCCTCCGGGCCGGGTACTCCGACTCTTCGTTTTATCCGCCATGAAAGATCCTTCGAACCGTTCTTTGTCCCTTTAGACCGTTTTATTATTTTCACATACATACATAATGTTGTGACTACAGATCGCTGATGGAGAAAAAGAAAGTCTCTCACTTTTTGGTGAACCATTGTCACAATCAGTGTGAAATACAAACTAACAGAAGAAACGACAGACCGTTTCGATGAAAACAAACCTGTGAGGATCCATGGTCACATGTTTCAACACAAACAACCTTAAACAAGATGGTGAACGGGACATTCACCATTAATAACTGGTGTGATGAGCAGTATGAGTCCACATTTATGGTCACTGTATAAATGTTTTATTATGATGGAATGGCTAAAGGGGTGTGTGCTCATTAGTCTGTAGTAAATATCTCCAGATCCATCAGACACATTTTTATGTAACTCAGAAACAAACATTGGATGAGCTTCTGCCACTTCGGCTAGTTAATTCACACAGTAACGGCTTTGACTCCATACATTTACAGAGGTTTGCTGACATTTGATGTGTTTGGAGCTGAGAGTCATTCACAACACATTCCCTGAGTGAAATTAACACAAACTCCAGTGTTGTGTATTATTTCACAAGGTTTTCATTTATTTTCTGAGAGGCACTTTGTGCAAGCCTTCTTTTGTTCAGCGTAGCTATTGTGCTTTAGGTGTATGTTTAGCTGCCAGATCTGGGAACTGCTTAGTGTACAGAAGACGTGTGTACTGCAGTTCAGGAGTTATGAGCCTCAGACATTTGGTTCTGGTGTCTCTGTCTAGATGTGGGTTTAAGTTGTAGCCTTGGATCACGGCTGCTCCATACTGGAACGGCTTCAGGCCTGGATCCTTGATCTTTGATGGGTTAACTGGCCCCCCATCTTTTAGGCAGGTGTTGGCTAGTTTGGCCCGCAGCTCTCTGAGCTGAGACACTTCCCTCTTCATCTGCTCCTGCCCCACCAGACTCCCCACTTGGTGCCAGAAGGTGGCATTGAAGTGAAGGTAAATGCTCCAGTCTAAAGCGTTCCACCTCTTAATTTTTTCTGCTGTTTCAGCTGAAACTTTGTGGCGAGTTTGTTCACTGCGACTGTTCAGCCTGAACGAGACCACGTCTTCCAGCGACCAGCAGAGGGCGTGCTTGAGCAAGATCATGGACTCATCAAAGTAATCTGAAATAAGAACAAGGTGGAAGTCTCTTTCTATAGCTGCAACAACCTCTGCAGCTCTCTCATTCAGATGTTCAGCTCCATCTGCAACATTGTTGTCAAAGCCAAAGTCAAAGGCCAGGACATTGTGGGCGTAGTGGTTGTTCCTCACAGAGGACTTGTAGTCCTCCCAGCAGCTGTCCAGGAAGTCCTCCAGGCGGCGAGTCTTACTAAAGGCTGCTATGGTGTTGTAGTAAGCAAAGATGGACTCCATCATTGCTACAGGATGTCTCAGGATGGAGAAATAAAATGTTTCCTGGAGCATCACTTTAGACACCTGAGTCACAGAAAGCAAACGTGAGAGAGCAGCCACGTAGAACAAACATCAGAAGACAGATGTGACGGATCACTCTGTGATGAAGCTCACCTCTGATTTTCTGAATCTCATGTGGTTGCACATGATGTGGAAGTCTCGCCCACATCTGCTGTTAAAGCCTTCCACAAAGCGTGAAGCAAAGAAGGTCGGGTAAAACATCTGGCTGTGTTTGTTCCGAGGGAGGGCGAATGTCAAGTTCCTGCTCTCGCCGTAGCGATATAAAATGTTTAAGATGCTACTGCTGGCTGTTTTGTGCGTCTTAAGAAAAACAATGTGAGACTTTGGGACACAGGTTTCTTTGGAATGACTTTTGTTTCTATGAGAGTTTAAAACCCTGGTTGAAGTGCTGATGAGCATTTTGCCAGATCCTGCAACTACGTTGATGACTTTCTGCACACATTTCAGCAGTGGGTCATGCGAAGACTCCTCGTCCTCCTCACTCTCACGATGAAGGTTTGTGGTTTGTTCTGATCTCGGTTTCTGGTTGTGTTCGAGGTCCGCTGGGACAGTTGGAAGCAGGTTCTGCTTGCTGATGGAGGTTCTCAGAAGGAGGAGTCCTGTCAGCTTGGCTCCCCTGAAACAGAGCAACGGTCTACATGGGTGTCTCCTCGTGTCAGACTGGTATGCAGGGCCGTGTCCAGGGAGTGGCCTGGGGTAGCACATGCCACCTTTGGAATCTGATTGGCCACCCCAGGTGCCAACACATTAATTTATCTTTAAATAGGCTTTTCATTGTCCACAAAAGGTGTAGGGGTAAAACAAAAAAAACATAACCATTGGTGCCACCCATGCACAAAGTTGTGCCTCACCTGGGCCACCCCATTTTAAAATATCTGGACACGCCACTGCTGGTATGTAAACTGTAACACTGATTAACACGCAGATTCAGTTGATGAGCTGTTAGAGGGAAATGTTTCATGTCACGTCTCCATTAGACAGGTTAGACCTGAACACCCGACTAGAGCTAAACGAGAAGCCATGATGGAGGCAAACAGAATAATGGTATGGAAACAGCTACATTTGTCTCTTACAGGGGAATGAAGTAAAAATGAAGGTGCTGTAGTTCATGTTTCTAAACAAACAAGTGAGTTTGATGGCAGTTGCCAGTTAGCAATCAATGCCAGTAGATTCTAGATGACGAGTCACAAGCAGATAGATACATTTCACTGGAATATCGAGTAGGTTGACACATTATTTAGAGTCAAATATGTTTTCTAGTCCACCGCTATTCAATGTTAGCCTTTAGCCTTCTTTGGGCGACTAACAGAGGAGTTAAGTGCCCGCCCATAACTGGAGGGTTACAGATTAAAGTCGCAGTTGTTGTGTCCTTGGGCAAGGCACTTCACACTCCTTGCCTGCTGTGGTGGTTGGAGGGCCCGGTGACACCAGAGTTCACCAGCCTTGCTTCTGTCAGGGCAGCTGTGGCTACATTGTATTTCATCGCCACCCGTGTGTGAAGGGGTAAATGACTGTTTGTGTTGTAAAGTGCCTTGGGGGGTTGCAGAACGCTAGAAGGCACTTTATAAGAACAGGCCATCTACCATGGGGATATAAAGCTGATACAAAACTATTTTAAGGTTATAAGAAATAACTTCTGGGTTGCTCCTGTTAGTGTCTGACATTCTCTCCGCAACTCTGGAGCGTTTGGCCGGCCGGTGTCGAATTACAAATGCCGGAGCAGCAGCATTAGCTGGCACAGACTTGGCTATCCCATGGATTTACAAATGGTAAACTAACAACACATATAGAGTCGAGTCGCGGAGGCAGCAGCCCAAGCCGAGAGGCCCAGACTTCCCTCTCCCCAGCTACTTGGGCCAGCTCTTCTGGAGGAATCCAGGACAGGTGAGAGACATAGTCCTCCAGCGTGTCCTGGGTCTTCCCTTGGGTCTCCTCCCAGTTGGACGTGCCCGGAAAACCTCACCAGGAGGCATCCTGACCAGATACCCAAGCCACCTCAACTGGCTTCTCTCAATGTGGAGGAGCAACGAGTCTACTTCGAGCCCCTCCTGGATGACCAAGCTTCTCAACCAATCTATAAGGGAGAGCCCAGCGATTCTGCGGAGAAAACTCATTTTGGTCACATGTATCCATGATCTTGTTCTTTTGATCAGTACCCAAAGCTGGTGACCATAGGTGAGGGTGGGAACGTAGATCGACTGGTAAATCAAGAGCTTCGCCCTCTGACTCATCTCTCTCTTCACCACGACAGACCGGTACAACGCCCGCGTCACTGTAGACGCAGCACCAATCCGCCTATCGATCTCATGCTCCATCTTTCCCTCACTTGTGAACAGGACCCAGAGATACTTAAATCCTTCCACTTGAGGCAGGACCTCGTCCCTGACCTGGAGAAGGCATTCTACCTTTTTTTGATTTAAGACCATGGTCTCAGATTTAGAGGAGCTGATTCTCATCCCAGCCGCTTTAGTCAGCTGCAAACTACTCCAGCAAAAGCTGGAAAGCTTCCAACGTGATTTAGATTGTTTTGTGACTATTTCACTGAAATTTAATCTATTGCACCTTTGACTTAAACTTCCTGTTAGGGAGCCAACATCTCTGTTGATACCAGTGAGTCCAATTTGGACTGAGAGGGAGTTGAAAAGTCGATAGCTTTTGCCCCATAAAAGACACCTTCATCTTGGCTGAGATCTGCAGCGGTCCACATGGACGAGCCGCTTGAGCTGATTGGTCACAATCATGAGGAATGTCTAATTGAACCCTAGGAAAATCTGAGCAGCAAGGTAGCATCGTGTTTGATGTTTTAAAACAAGGTGTTACTGAAGATGTGTGACTTTACCAAGGCGACTGTGTACCAAACATCTGAATGGTGAAACAGACCACAAGCAGGAGCAGAAGTACCCATAGAAGGTGATACCTGCTGTTAAACCATCTCTTCAAAAACCTGCAAACACAACATACAACTAAATCAAATCAAAGATACTTTATTAATCCCAGAGGGAAATTAATTAATTAATTCTGCTTTTCTAGCTCTGATGTGAGACAGTTTAACTCATAAAAACATATTTGAGTTTTTAATAACAGAGGAAATCTACAATCAGAACTTACAACATCTGTTAACACGTCATGGTGAAACTGACCCTGAAAAGCACACAGCATGACTTAACTGGTTAGTTTGTCTTCCACTTCTCTGAAGCCGTCCTGTGGGATGGTTTTGGGTGTAAACTCGTTCTCCTCTGTTCATCCTGCTGACTGACTGTGGAGCTGCTCTATTCTTCAGGATCACAAGATTTCCCGGGAAAACGGATTCCCAGCAATCCAGCTGAGTTCCTTCTTCAGGCAGTGTCACTGTAACAGTGAGACTAGAGGAGTGATGTTTCCTCATGACTGATTCAGCAGCAGGTTCAAATAACACGGACGCTGATTTCCCCGTGTCCCGGCGTTGTTTTCCTCATCTGACTTGAGAGAAGCTCAGCTTCTGGAAGCAGCAGCAGCAGCATCCCCAGGATGAATCCTTCACTCTTCATTTGACATAGTCCCTCTTTAAAAATCCAGATCAGTGCAACTCGAGAAACAAATGGCAAGACTTTCCTTAGTGTGCGATGGTGTTTACAGATATCAGGATTCCTGCTGCTCTCACAAGCACACCCTGAGAGCAACTTTGGTTCTGCTCCAACTTTCAAGGGAATTTCAGGATTGTATCTGTTTGAGATCAACTGGAAGTCAATTCAGTGTGCAGCCAGAAGAACTGCTTCATACTCTCCAGTTCAGCTTTATTGTAAGTGTTCATTTAGTAAGTATTTAACCTGAAAACGACCCTGTTTCTGTGACCGTCATCAGTAGCCCACAGACTAGGTTAATGTCCTGATCCGGTCCAATCAGAAGACTGTAATCTGATGCTGAAAGGTGAACTGGAACAGGGTAGAGTATCAGCACCACACGGAGCACCTCGTTCGTAAACATTCACTCACTGATCAGGCTTTATTTCAGATGAAGAGCCTGAAGATGCACACATGTTCTACTATAATACAACTTTGCTGTTATGGAAAAGTCTGATCAGTTCTCTTCCATGTAGAACTCAGGAGTGGTCAGAATCAGACACCACATCATGGTTTATCAGAGACAAAATAGTCTCTAATCCAGGTCTGGATGGATGGGTGGATGGATGGATGGATGGATGGATGCATGGATGTAGGGGTGTATGCATGGATGTATGGATCTATGATGAATGGGTAGATGGATGATAGATGGTGGATGGATGTATGCATGTATGTATGTATGATGAATGGGTAGATGATGGATATATTTATGTATGGATGTATGTATGGATTAATGGATGGATGGATAGATGGACAGATGGTGGATGTATTTATGCATGGATGGATGGATGATGGAAGGATGGATGGCTGCACGTATGAGGAATGGGTGAATAGATGGTGGATGGATGATGGATGGAGGGATGGACGATGAATGGGTGAATAGATGGTGGATGGATGATGGATGGAGGAATGGATGATGAATGGGTGGATGGATGATGGATGGATGGATAGTGGATGTATGCATTGCTGATGGATGGAAGGATAGATTGATCATTGTGTATGTATGTATGTATGTATGTATGTATGTATGTATGCATGTATGTATGTATGTATGTATGTATGTATGTATGTATGTATGTATGTATGTATGTATGTATGCATGTATGTATGTATGTATGTATGTATGTATGTATGTATGTATGTAAGTATGTAAGTATGTATGTATGTATGGATACATGTATGTATGTATGTATGTATGTATGTATGTATGTATGCATGTATGTATGTATGTATGTATGTATGTATGTATGTATGTATGTATGTATGTAAGTATGTAAGTATGTATGTATGTATGGATACATGTATGTATGTATGTATGTATGTATGTATGGATGGATGTATGGATGCATGTATGTATGTATGTATGTATGTAAGTATGGATGGATGAATGGATAGATGGTGGGTGTATGTATGAGTGGATGGAAGGATGATAGATACATGGATGTATGACGAATGGGTGGATGGATGGATGAAGGTTATCAGTATATGGAAAATATAAAAGGTAAAACTTTTTATACCATTTCTTTTTCAAGTGTTAAAACATATTTTGGAGCATTTTACAGCGCGTTGTTTAAATAAGTTGATTGTTTTTATGATAGTTTGTGTGCTCTTTTGCGTTTTAGTTGAATAGAAAACACCTTCATCTGGACGTGGTTGTACCGTATGTGCGTAAACAGCTCCCCCTGGTGTTCATCCTGAAGCGGTGCCTCCGCTGCGGTCTGACCAGCTAACAAGAAAAAGGCAGGGAGGATAAACAGCAACGTGACAGCCACACATCCGGCTTTGTTCTTACAGTAGAATAACATCCACTAAGAGGGAGTTGACAGTTTGGGACCGTGAAGGTAAGTCCCTTTCATGACGCAGCCTGAGCCTTTGTCATGATGTTTACCGCCAGCTAACGTCCGTAAGAAAGCGTCCGGCGGCTCGTCCGTGGCTCTCCGTGAGCTTGCAGACATGCCGAACTCTGTTGAAGATGAAGCCGGTTGCGCCTAACCGACTGTAGGACCGCAGAAGTAGCGTGAGGAGAAGCTTCAGATGAATCATGGAGAAAATGATGGTGGTTCGGCGTGTAGCTGCTGTAGCTATCATCCGGAGCAGTCTTTAGTTAGCTCACTCTGATAACTAGACGTGTGTACAACACTCTAACATCATAGATGGGTCTGTTATCGGTAGGATGGTGTCTGGCTGGTGTCTAACAATCATCAGACAGGATGATGATGTGTGCTGCTGCCGATAGGGCATCAGCTGACGCGCTGCATCCTATCCCTAACCGTGGGCCTAACAGGTCATCCAGGGGTTGGTAGCAGTCCTGCACAGGGGCCAGACCTCTCTTCTCCTCTCATGATGAGTTAATGAATAAACCCTGACCCTTTTACTCTCTTGCTTTCATGTAAACTAATGTGCAGCTTCATAAAGCTTCATGGCTCATGGTGCAGCAGACCAGATGCATCCAACAATGAAATAAATGTGTTTAATGGCTTTTTCTACCCTGGATTTTACCCTAATTCTCAGTTCCATAAAACATAAACAACACGTGGCTCATGAATAATTCATCAGCTCTTGTGTGGAGAGGTTAGGCTGTTTTTTTATGTTGTTTATGTTGTTTATGTGCTTAGCAGGCGCTTTTTCCCAAAGCGACTTACAATTTTAATTTTTTTTTTAACCTATAGGGCATGTTTTTTATTCAGTGAGGCTCCTTGGACTTTAAACTGAAACAGTTTTTGTACCTGATGTTTGTACAGGACAGCTGAGCGTCACTGCTAACCCCATCAGCTAAGTGAGGCCAATGTTGGTGTGAAAAGCATTTTTAGGCAGTAGAGTGAAGGGTCGGGAACATGGCTTCACCCTTTGTGCCTGTCCCGTTTCCCATGGACAAAGGCAGCAGAAACAAGCCCAGACGTCCACAGCGAGCTTCATCTCTGGGAAGCGTCTCGGGTAGCTTAGAGTCCTCGTCCCCGATCACTGCTGGGGGAGAACATGAAAGATTAAAGCATCAGTCCAGAAACAAGGACAAGGCCAACCGCAGCCGGACGCCGCCACCCCTCCAGAGCCCCGTGACACGGGCCAGGATGAATGGGATGCTGGATCCCAGTGTGGAGTACTTGAGCTGCCCTCGCTCCGTATCGGATCCATCAGGCAGCCAGCAAATAGAGGAGAGGCCCATCACTCCGACTGTACTGGGGTACGAGGTCATGGAGGAGAGAGCCAAGTTCACAGTAAGATTTTTGATGACATCTCATCAACTCTGACTGAAGCTGTGTGCTGATTAAATACAGAGCAGCAGTCATGGTTAACAGTGTTTTTCTCTTCTGCAGGTTTATAAGATCCTGGTCAGGAAAACGCCCGACCAGAGCTGGGTTGTTTTCAGAAGGTACACCGACTTCTCCAGACTCAACGACAAGGTGCGGCCGGGTGTGTTGCGTTATTGTGTGTGAAGGCTATCTGAGGCGGAGTTGTTATCAAGCTCCAGAGACACTCCATCAGACATTTGTTATCGGTGGAAGCAGCACAGAGGAGCCTACTGTTCCCAAACAGCTGAGAGGCCTCTCAGCTCAGACAAACAAAGCTCTGCATGCATTCACACGGAAAAGAATGAATCATCAAAGCTAGTTTGTTATAAAAAATATATTAAATACATTCTTCCCATGCATCTTTCCTCTGAGCTTCATCAGGACAGCAATATGAAAACAGAAAAAGGAAAACAATCTAATTGGAACTATTTATGCTCTCCCTGCAGATGCCTCTAACAGTCATGCTAGCAAGCTCCACTGGTGTAATAATAACACGAGTCTGGAGTAACTGTCTGAACGTTAAACTTTATGCCTCAGTGTTGCAGTTTTGGTGTTTCTGCACCAGAATAGAAACAGAATAAGCAGCAGTTGGTCTCTTGGTGGGAGGCATGATCCCAGAGGGAGATCTTCTGGTCTCTGAGCAGCGAGCAGCACTAGTCTGCTATAGCTAACAGAGCCTGAGCCTCAGTGGGTGGTACTCCTGTCCCAGCCGGTCCAACATGGAGCTGCACACATCCATCCAGCAGCGTGGTGGTTGGTACCAGACATGCTGGTTTGAGTATGTCGGTACCATCTCTTGAGTTTACAGAATGGTCCGAAAAACGGAAAATCTCCAGTAAGCAGTGGTCGTGAGGATGAAAATGTCCTTTTGATGTCAGACTGGTTCTAGCTGACAGAAAGACAAAAGCAGCTCAGATCAGCACTGGTTTCTACCAAGATCTGCAGAACCACACGTGCTAGTCCAGATGGACTCCAGCAGCTGAAGACCACACCGGGTGTCTCTCCTGCCGGTAAGAGCAGGAAACTGAGATCACCAGAAGAGACTGGAAAACCGTTGCTGGTCTGGTGAGTCTGGATTTCAGCAGTCAGATCAGAATTCGGTGTCACCAACATGGAGGTCCGTCCTGCTGGTGTGATGGTGTGGGGGAGATCCAATAACAGGGTCCACACCTGTGCTCGACGGCTGTACCTGACCAGTTGTGTTGAAGTTCCACTGAGGCGACGGTGACACAGGAGTTAAGTGCTCGCCCCGTAATCGTAAGGTTGCAGGTTCGAGTCTGTCGCTGTCGTTGTGTCCTTGGGCAAGACACTTAACCCACATTGCCTGCTGGTGGTGGTTGGAGGGACCGGTGGCGCCAGTGCTTGGCAGCCTCGCCTCCGTCAGTGTGCCCCAGGGCAGCTGTGGCTACATTGTAGCTCATCCCCACCAGTGTGTAAATGTGTGTGTGAATGGGTGAATGACTGATTGTGTTGTAAAGTGCCTTGGGGGGTTTCAGGACTCTAGCAGGCGCTATATCAAATACAAGCTATTTACCATTTAATTGTCACACACTGGTGTGTGTGACATTTGTTCTCCGCATTAGAACCATCCCCATGGGGGGGCAACAAGCTGCAGCCGTGACCACGCTCTGGAACTACCCCCCCCCCCCCAATTCAACCCCTTAAAGCTGAGTGTCCCATGTTTAGATTTTTGGTACGACCCGACCGTGGATTTGAACTCACGATCTCCCGATCTCAGGGCGAGCACTCGTGCCTCTAGGCCACTGCACTGGTCTGGACACACCTTCATAAGCAGCAAGGAGTTTGGACTTCTCCAGCCTGTCTTCCCCCTGATTTTATGCTTCTGTCTAATCTGATCTGTGTTTGTGGACAAAAGGTTTGCAAACATGCAGTCAGTCTACCCACCTCCTACTTTATCAACACACCGTGTCCCAGACTAGCACATTCTCCGTTTGTCTGACCTGCTGTAGATCAACACGTGCTCACCAGGGTGAAATTTCAGATGCTTCCTGGTTTGTAAAGCTGGAGCTCCTAGTGAAGTCAAGGATGATGAAAAGCTTTTCAGTGTTTTCACCTATTGTTGCTATGGGAACAGTGTGTTAGGAGGTAGAGTGTACACTCATGACAAAAGGTTTTGAGAATGGAGCAAGTTTTCTGTTTGCTGGCTCTGTTTTCTGTCTTTTGTAACATTGTGTGTGTGTGTGTGTGTCATTTTCAGCTAAAAGAAATCTTCCCAGGCTTTCGGCTCTCTCTGCCTCCTAAGAGGTGGTTCAAAGACAACTACGACAGCGACTTCCTAGAAGACAGACAGCTGGGACTTCAGGCGTTTTTGCAGAACTTGGTTGCACACAAGGACATCGCTAACTGGTAAACCAACACAGTGTGATGCTGAGACCTCACTAGGGAGAGGAGCTGCCATCTGACTGCCCAGATTAAAGGGATATTTCAGTCACTGTGAAGCAGGTTTCTGTGGAGATTTAATTAAAGCTTATGCCTCTTAACAACATGCTAACATAGTATAGCTATAACTATATTATTGAGATGATTTGAAAAAAGTTAATAAGGTGGTTCATATTCACCTGAAAACCTCCATTAATAACACGTTTCAGACCGATAGCAACTGTCCATCTGGTCCTCCACTCATTACACACTCGCGTATTTAGCAACAGGACACTGCTGGTGTGAGAGGTTCTCCGCTCAGTAATATCAGAGAAGGAGAAACAGCCGGCTGCTACCGCTTCAACTTTAGGACAACCTACTAGAATCCCAAAAAGATAAACACCATTTGAAGTCATGGACAACAAAAGACGTTTGGACCTAGAAAACAGCGACTGGTGTTTGGTGCTACTTCATTTCATCTGGCATCGTGGGTTTCTGGTTACAGCAGAAGCGTCTCAGGGAAGATACCCGAGGGGAGGGGTGAGTGTTCCGTGACCATGTTTGCATTCAAAACCTAGCTTGTTTTTCAGATTCACCCATAGACTGTAAATACCATACGGACTCCAAGTCTCCTCCCTTTCCGGAAGAACGAAAAAATGAATGCAAGTCAACGGGGCTAAAAAGGCTGTTTTCTAATCCACCTTGCCTTACACCCTGGATCGCACATATGTTGTACTTATATTTAAATGAAGGGTAATGATGGGTGTTCTGACCACGCCAGTCATGCACTTTGAGATTTATCAGCTTGTAAAAGTTTGCTATTAGCATGATTACAAATCAGACGTGGCATATATGACATCACCACGGAATCTCCGCTCCCCTAGCGTAGCTGCTACTTACCACATGGCCAGATTTGTGGTGATTATTTCCTTCTGAAAGAAGGATCTATCGTTCGCTGAACTTGCAGCCATTTTCCCTCAGTTTTCTCCGTGTCTGGTTCGATGACGTCGCTTTCGTGAAGCGCATTTGTAGTCCTGGACTTATTTTCACACAAAACCTAAAATAGCGTTTCCCCCTGTTAGAAAATAAGTGCGTTCTTGGTATCAAAATGCGTCCACGTTAAGTGTATTATTTAAACCATTACACTGTTGTCGGTTGAGTTAATTAGTGGGAGATATGAATGGATCTGTTCCAGACAGGAAGTGCTACAATTTCCTGCTGATTTTGATGCTTATAAATAACCCAATAATTCCACATGAACAGCAGTGTGTTGAGAGATGGAGCACAGGGTAACTTTTACAAAATACTCACTTTAAATATCCTGTCAGTCGTAGATTTAAGTTTTAATCCAGACTTGACTGATTTGTTCACAAACGAAAATGCTTACACACACACACTCTCTTGTTCCTTCTTCACAGCGTGCCCGTGAGGGAGTTCCTTTGCCTTGACGACCCGCCCGGACCCTTTGATAGTCTCGAAGAGAGCAGGGTACTTGTACACACACACACACACGCACGCAGGCACGCTCGCTCGCTCGCTCGCTCCTCACTCACTCACTCACTCACTCACTCACTCACTCACTCACTCACTCACTCACTCACTCACTCACTCACTCACTCACTCACTAATGTGGCCAAAAGTTTAGCTCCCACTGAGGCAAAGGGAAGTTTTCTGCATGGTTCTTAAAGCTGAAACTATTTTCTTCATTTGGGATCTAAAAAGTAAATCTGCGCATGTTTCCTCCCCTGGTTATAAATGCATGTCCAGTCACAACAAAGCATTCTGGGTACATGCCACACCTGGTTGTATGACGTCACAGGTAGATGGTAGAAGTCTCATGTTTGTTGTAAAATGGGTAAAACAGCAGTTTCTGCTCCAGGCACCTTATTCTGTACTCATTCAGTAAAACCCATTCATGACTTTATGCAGTGGTTCAATCCTTAGCTGCTCTGTCTCCTGATTGGACAGGTTTGGATTTTGTCTGTTGTTCTTCTGTCCCTTCAGGCTTTCTGTGAGACTCTAGAGGAGAGCAACTATCGTCTCCAAAAGGAGCTGCTGGAGAAGCAGAAGGAGATTGTTTCCTTGAAGAGAAAGCTGGAGGAGAGAGAGAGGGCCTTCCTGTTGCTGGAGAAGCACATGAAGTCAGTAGACTGTCGACACACACAGGTGGAAGGAGCAGGAACGCATTTAACAGCAGTGTGTGTGTGTGTGTGTTTGTTTCTCAGCGGTGAGTGTGTAACTCCAGAGTCTCCATGTGGTCTGTCTGCTCAGGGCAGTGAGAGCAGTGCAGAGGTTGATGTGGAGTTGTCTGCTGCAGAGGCGGATCAAGACATGTCTGGTGATGCGGGGTAAAGCACACGCACGCACGCACGCACGCACGCACACACACGTTCAGAGCCTAACAAGCTAATCAGCTAAGAGTAGGGAACGTGCATTGTACCAGTATTTTTTTCTTGCCCATGAAAGAAAATGTAAATCACGATGAACTAATTTCATGACCTAAACATGAGGATTGCACTGATGTGCTCCATGCAGCTCAGAGTTATTAACATAGGCAAACATGGCTGGAGTCATATTAGCAAGTAGAGAAAGTGTCATCAGCGCCACCTTCTGGTTTCTGTGACCTCTGGACATAAACAAACATCATACACCATGGTCCCCTGCTCGTCTGTATGATGTCATGCATCTTCAACTTCTGTAGCTCTTAAGCATCCGCCAAAAAACACAATAACATCTGATGTTGCACATAAATAATAATGTTTGTTGTCCTTTCAAAAAGATGCACACAGTCGGTTAACGATGTTGCAGAAGCGCTGATTGTTCTGCAGAACCACATCGTTTAGTATTTTATGGCTAATAAGTTGTTAAAGTATTTTTATCCAATTTTAATGACACCATTTCTAGTTTAAGACGTAGGGTAAGAATGAAATAATTAATGAGTGAATAATAACGAATGTTCAGATTTCTTATCATCAAAAGAGTCTGAAATAGCTGAGAGGTGTAGAAAAGCAGCATGCTTCCGACTGGTCTTGTTTTTATATACAGTGGGGCAAAAAAGTATTTATTCAGCCACCGATTGTGCAAGTTCTCCCACTTAAAATGATGACAGAGGTCAGTAATTTACATCATAGGTACACTTCAACTGTGAGAGACAGAATGTGAAAAAATCCATGAATTCACATGGCAGGACTTTTAAAGAATTTATTTGTAAATCAGGGTGGAAAATAAAGTATTTGGTCACTTCAAACAAGGAAAATCTCTGGCTCTCACAGACCTGTAACGTCTTCTTTAAGAAGCTTTTCTGTCCTCCACTCGTTACCTGTATTAATGGCACCTGTTTGAACTCATTATCTGTATAAAAGACACCTGTCCACAGCCTCAAACAGTCAGACTCCAAACTCCACTATGGCCAAGACCAAAGAGCTTTCGAAGGACACCAGGAAAAGAATTGTAGACCTGCACCAGACTGGGAAGAGTGAATCTACAATAGGCAAGCAGCTTGGTGTGAAAAATTCAACTGTGGGAGCAATTATCAGAAAATGGAAGACATACAAGACCACTGATAATCTCCCTCGATCTGGGGCTCCACGCAAGATCTCATCCCGTGGGGTCAAAATGATCATGAGAACGGTGAGCAAGAATCCCAGAACCACACGGGGGGACCTGGTGAATGACCTGCAGAGAGCTGGGACCACAGTAACAAAGGTCACCATCAGTAACACACTACAACGGCAGGGAATCAAATCCTGCAGTGGCAGACGTGTTCCGCTGCTGAAGCCAGTGCATGTCCAGGCCCGTCTGAAGTTTGCCAGAGAGCACATGGATGATACAGCAGAGGATTGGGAGAATGTCATGTGGTCAGATGAAACCAAAGTAGAACTTTCTGGTATAAACTCAACTCGTCGTGTTTGGAGGAAGAAGAATACTGAGTGGCATCCTAAGAACACTATACCTACTGTGAAGCATGGGGGTGGGAACATCATGCTTTGGGGCTGTTTTTCTGCTAAGGGGACAGGACGACTGATCCGTGATAAGGACAGAATGAATGGGGTCATGTATCGTGAGATTCTGAGCCAAAACCTCCTTCCATCAGTGAGAGCTTTGAAGATGAAACGTGGCTGGGTCTTCCAACACGACAATGATCCCAAACACACCGCCCGGGCAGCAAAGGAGTGGCTCAGTAAGAAGCATTTGAAAGTTCTGGAGTGGCCTAGCCAGTCTCCAGACCTCAACCCCATAGAAAATCTGTGGAGGGAGTTGAAAGTCCGTGTTGCTCGGCGACAGCCCCAAAACATCACTGCTCTCGAGAAGATCTGCATGGAGGAATGGGCCAAAATACCAGCTACTGTGTGTGCAAACCTGGTAAAGACCTATAGTAATCGTTTGACCTCTGTTATTGCCAACAAATGTTATGTTACAAAGTATTGAGTTGAATTTTTGTTATTGACCAAATACTTACTTTCCACCCTGATTTACAAATAAATTCTTTAAAAATCCTGCCATGTGAATTCATGGATTTTTTTCACATTCTGTCTCTCACAGTTGAAGTGTACCTATGATGTAAATTACTGACCTCTGTCATCATTTTAAGTGGGAGAACTTGCACAATCGGTGGCTGACTAAATACTTTTTTGCCCCACTGTATGTAACAAATAAACTTTCAGTCAATTTTTGAAAAGTTGCCAAGTATGACGTTTCTGAAAACTGCAGACATGAACTTAAAACAGTACTATCCGTACAGTCTGGGTGGGTGTTGTTGTACCGTCAGTAATTTTGATATTTTTATTGTTGGATTTTTAAAAAATGCAGATCCTTCTGAGTTTCTACATTTCTATCCCGCAGCTGTGCTGCTCCGGTCTGGCAGAGAGCCTCATTAACCTGAAGGTACTGCAGATTTCAGCTCAGCAGGCTTGTCTGTGACTGCTCATGTTCTTCCTCCTAGTGGCGTTCTACCTAATAACCGTGCTCTGTTCTGTGTTGCTAGGGTGTTCAGCTTCTTGTCACGTCTGTCTGTAAACCTAACCTGCATGCCGAACGTGGCGTTGTCCTTGTTAACTGTCTGTATGGGTTTATATCATCCATGCAGGTCCTACGTTTGGTCTCACCTACAAACTGAAACATCTATGTCTTTGTCTTCTTCTTCTTATTATTATTATTATTGTTATTATTATTATTATTATTATTGTATTTTTTGTATATTTGTATGCTTTCACTGAAGTGCCAGAATCAATCCATGCTTCTAAGGCAGTTTCAGGGTTAGTTTATGGAAAGCGTCCTTCTGATGATGTGGGCACTTCCGAGAAGAACAATCTTCTGGATTTCTTGGACTGTTGGGTTTCCAGGAATCTGTTTTGTTCTCTTTTCCAGTCCCTTCTTGATGAGGCCAAGTGCGCCCACTACGACGGGTATTGTTGTTGTCTTCATCCCCCACATTCTTGTGACTTCTATTTCCAGGTCCTTGTACTTTGATAGCTTTTCAAGCTCCTTGGTGGTGACATTTTTTTCAGATGGGATGGTCGTGTCAATCATGAGGCAGGCCTTCTCTTCTTTGTTTCTGATGATTATGTCTGGTCTGTTGTCCATGGTTTCTCTGTCTGTGTTGATTGGCACGTCCCACGACACTGTGATGTTGTTGTTTTCAGTCACTGTTGGTGGTTGGTGTTCATACCACTTGTCTGCAGCTGGTAGATGGAAATGCTTGCAGATCTTCCGGTGGATATAGCTTGCTGCCCTGTCATGTCTGTGGATGTACTCAGTTCTGGCTAGAGTGGGGCAGCCTGAGCGAATGTGGTCAATGGTTTCTTCTGCACATTCTACACATGGGGTCTGTTCCATCTTTCATGATCTTGTGGTGGTATGATCTCGCTGACAGGCTCTGGTCTTGTGCTGCTATCAACACTCCTTCCGTTTCTGCCTTCAGTCCTGCACTGCGTAGCCACTGATGAGTATGATCTTGTTCTACGTCTACTTTTTTACTCTCTAGGGGTATTGTCCATGCATTGGTTTTTCCTCCCATGTTTCTCTCATCCTCTTTTGGGCCCATTTCTTTGCCTCCCTTTTGGTCCTCTTGGCAAAGCTTGTTACTGTTTCTTTCTCTTTTCTTGCCACATCTGGGATGTTTAGTTCCTGTGCATATCTTATAGCTTCTTCTTCTTCTTCGTTGTCTTATTATTATTATTTAAATGAGAGGAAGTTCCTTTTCAGGAGCCAGGAAAAGACGTCTATATCTCCTCCTTTATGCGGCCAAACATGTTTTATCTGAAGGGTTATAAAGGCTGCTCTGTTATTTGAGTTTTTAATGGCATGGAAAGCACTGGACTGTCTGTGGTGTGGCCATAGTGCTGCTGTGTTTGACCCCTTTCACGTGGTCGCCTGTACGACCCTGAGTGTTCAATTGCAGGATTTCCTTTATCATATCTAATCCATTGTATTGACATAACTGTAATTAAGTTTGAGCTGTGAACATGGTCCTGATAATCCTCTCGCTTCTGAATCACAGACTAGATTGGAGCAACACATCTGTGAGCCTGCACAATGCTCCGCCCCCTTTTGGGCTGGAAACAGCCTCCACGCTAACGGGGAAGTCTGTTGTTGGTTTAGCATCCAGGAAACAGCAGAGGACATCTCAGCAAGTAGATGCTAACTGTTAGCATTAGCAACTCCGCCACACAGCAGGACTCCTCCATGCCTGTGTTATTTGTGGAGATAAAACGGAGTCAATGGTAGTCACGTTGATGTTAGCCAATCAGAGTTGAGACGTCCAAATATCAGGAAATAAGACTCCAAATCCTGCCGTCTGCAGCTCAGCTCTGATCTGACTCATTTCTAGTTCCTGAAACAGGCGCGCCAGAGCTTTTTTTCTTCCTGAGTATAGCTTACAAGACATTTGCTCCTACTAGAGACCACTGCAAATGCATTAAATATGAGTAAATTGTGTTATTTCTTACACTTCTCATGTTTTACCTTGATAAAGCTGCTTTAACTGTGTTGGAGTTGATCATTATTGTACAGCCTGCCAACACACAGCTTGTTTAGTAGCTGCAGAAGAGTTTAGGCTCATGATTTCATGTTTAGAAAGAACAAAGCAGCTTCCTCTGTGATATGTTTAATTCCTCTTTACAGCTGGACTCAAGCCACGCGTGCTTACCTCTTCTGTAGAAGCAAAAAATTATTCTGATTTTATTCCCACAGAACAAAACGCAACAAAGACCCTTTTAGACACAGCACTGCTGTTATTCTTGGGTTGTCAGCGGTTTTACATCATTTATTTTCACCATAAAGGAGGCGTGGCCATTTGAGTGAGCAGGAAGTGACGTGAAAAGCGCTCTCTTAGTGCTCTTACAGCAACAATCTCAAGTTTGAACACGTTCAGAAAACAAAAGCCCTTCATGTCCAAACTTGTGAGTGATGCTGCTGCTGTGGTGTTCATATCTTTTCACTCTAATGGCTCTAACACCAGGCTTTATTTATTCACCCAGCCTGTCTGGTGACAGTGTGACAGCGGTTTGTGCTAATGAGCGCTGTTTTTCTCTCTGCAGTGGCAGCTGTGAGGTCCAGCCGGTGCAGACCTCCGCTTGTTGGTGCAGGCCTTCACTCAGCGTCTCTCCTCCGGCCATCCAGGTCACTCAGCTGTACCACAAGGACCGGTCTGGACCCTAACGATGAACCCCGTTCTCCTTCCTCCATGTCGTTGTCATGCTTACTTTTACTTTTTCACTCGGCTTGTTCGTCTACCACATATCCTGTCCCCACAGTGGCATCGGGACCTTTTATCACTATTAAACAGGAAGTAGCTGAGCACTGGAAAGGCTGTTTCACCTCACAAGGACTCATGAGGAGTTTTATCCGTCAAACACAGAATACTAAACCGTTGAGAACCTCAGACTGAGCTGATCTTTCTGCTCATCTTCTTCTGCTGGAGTTGCCATGACAGACTTCTTCACCAAAAGACAAAAGCAGACAAACTTGAACATTGCTGGTTTGGTGACTTTCTAAATTGACAATCTTGAGGAAATGACCCATTAGATGAGACATTTGTTGCCTTGACCACCAGAGATGGCGCCCCCTTGTGGCTTTGAGAACCACCTGACTCAGGATGAACACTAGTAACCAGAGGAGTATCTGATGGGCTGTATGCAGAAACTCTGGGTCATGACTTTGCACTGCCGTGAGACTGTTAGAGGTTTAGACAAACCCTTTCTTGGGGACCTCGTTCTGTCAGTCACTTTTCATCTAAAAGCAGACGTTCTCTTCTGTTTTCAGTGCCAAGTGTGATTTGTGGGGGAGGGAAAACAGCATCATGCAGGTCAAAGCTAACAGATGCAACAGTCTGCACCCAAATCCCTACTTCACAGACACTTTAAATCTGATGAACCTTCAGAAATCTCTGATGTCAAAGGGATTTCAGCCCTTTTGAAGTTGCGTTAAAAGATCTAAGGGATTACCTTTTTACCTGTTTTAGGTCGCTTCTCGAAAGGCTTCAGTTCAAAGAGACTAGGTTGTCCAGCAGAACCGGTGAGCTGACAATAGGTCAGGTTCAGCTCCTGTCTCGTAAACTTCAAACATCAACAGGGGCAGCAAACTGGAGCCCACCCCCCCCACCACCACCAAGGGCTCACGTGCTGCAGAAGAAAACGTGAAAATAACGTAGTTTTAACAAGCAGCTGTGAAATTTAGCCAATAGCAATAAAGCACTTGCTCGGATTAGCTGTTAGCTCGTCAGCTCTGTTGGAAACAATTTCCTCCTACTGAGGCTGCTCAGGAAGCTATCCACAGTGTGTGTTTTAGCAGAAAACATTTGAAAATGTCCTTGTAGAAATAAAGGTGCAGATAAGAGTCACCCCTGTAGTATGGGGTGACGTTAAAAGCCCATTTCTAGTAAAATACACTACACACGTGATGAGGTACAGAGCGCTCATCACACACTGATTCTTGAATTCACTTAGATGAGGGGTAAACCCAGGGGAGCAGCTAATTCCTGGAAGAAGTCGGACTGTTCCATGTTTGTATCAGTTTACCCACTAAAGCCATACTTTCTACCTAAATAACACAAGTCTCACTGTGTGTGTGTGTGTGTGTGTGTGTGTGTGTGTGTGTGTGTGTGTGTGTGTGTGTAATGCACTTTAGGAGTGAATGCTTGGGGTTTTGCTTTTACATCTCAGACAGAAGAAGAAAATGCCTTTTGGACCACTGGACCTGTTTCCACTAACAGGACATGACCGGAGTCGGGTTAATGTGTGGTAAATCTGTAATGAAGTGCCTTAATGATTTGACACGAAACATCCTGTAACTCACTTTAATATATATGATGTTGCTTTGAATAGAAAACTATAATCACACAGTTGGAGACTTAGATCATTTAACAGCCATAGTTGCACTATAAAAACATATATGAAAAGTGTTTGGTGTCGAGCATAATGCCTCATATTTAAAGGGATAACTTACAGAAAAGACTTTTACACATGCTAAAGCAACAGAAGACATATTTAAGTCACTTGTTGAACTGTGGGGTTTTATTTTTAAAAGGCGGCATTAGATTTTCTCCCTTGGGTCTGATAAATCACAAGGTAGAGGTGTGGTAAAGACTAAATGTGGAGAATCTGTATGCTAGTTTATTTGTCGTTCTAGCCTAAAATGCTGCTTTGTGTTTGAGCAGTTCAGCTGTAAATACCTGGAACTTTACCTTCATCTCTAAAGGATCATCAGGATTAGATGTACCACTAAAGACTTGATTGTTTTTGGTGCTGCTCATCGGGTCTCAGTTTCACTCGTTTGTTGATAAAAATGTGTCTTGGGCCAAAGAAAATGAGGATACTTGTTTTGTGTTTATTTGTATAATGTCACCACTGCACTCCTTTGTGTGGTTTTGGCTTTTAGTTTCTTCTTTTGCTTTTTCGTTTGATAACTTTGAACTTTTGCTGTTTGTCTTGATTTCTTGATTAAACAAGAATGAAGGTTACTCCCAAGTGCTTCCCTATTTATTTATTAGTTAGCGACATTTAGCATTTGGCACAAAGTAACCGATGAAGACAGTGGAGATCATATTTAGGAGACCCTTTGCACTTCTGCTCTCATCAACTCCCATCCATCTGCTGTTCATCTGAGCTCAGGAAACCCAGACATCCCTCTCCCCACCATGTCTATCCACCTAGGGGGTCCCCAGGTGTTCCTTGACCAGAGAAGAAAAATAAACCCTCTCATCGTGTTTTGGGTCTGCCTCAGGTTGACCTCCAGGTGGGACGCGTCTGAAAATCCTCCCATGCAAGGTCATCTTTGCATCCTGACTTTTTCATATGGAGAAAAGTAGTGGTGGATCTAGGATTTTTCTGAGTATGGGGCCATCAATTGGCCTCAACATTTAAAGAAAGGGCAAGTATGAGTCCAGCATCCTTAAACAAAGTATAGCAAAGGATCGTTTTCTTCCAGGTGGATCATCTAAACCATTGGTCCACTTAACTGTCAATCATTCTGGTGAACCATTCACGCAAGGCCATCGTCGTACATTGCTGGGTAGTTTTCACTTCCTGCGCATGTCTAAAGCGAAGGTTTATGGAACTAGGATTGGGACAATATTACGTTAAACTTGTACCAAGTTTTGTAACTTGTGACATGTTTTGTAACAGTGACTTTTGTTTAGTAGCATGTATTTCACGTTTTGTAACATGTAACTTTCATTTTGTAACATTTAACTTTGGTACGTAACATGAACATTTTATTTAGTAACTTGGAGAAAAAAATCTATGTACAAGTTTCAAATCACAACTTTCAAAACACAAATCTCGGTCTACAGTTACAAAACTCAAGTCTACAAGTGCAAAACATTTTGTCCCGATTCTAGCTTTCTTCCAGCAGGAATTGTCTTCGACAGGAATCCAAAACTCATGATTGGCTGGTCAGACAAAGCCTGTCATTGGTTCTTTGGGAAGGAAGCTAGAATTGGGACAAAATGTTTTGTCCTTGTAGACTTGAGTTTTGTAACTGTAGATAGAGATGTGTGTTTTGAGAGTTGTGATTTGAAACTTCTTCATTGATTGTGGAATTGCTCCTCCATCACGTTACAAAGTTAAGTGTTACAAAACAAGAATGACATGCTGCAAAATGAAAGTTGCAGTGACAAAACATGTTACAGATTACAAAGCTTAGAACAAGTTAAATGTAATATTGTCCCAATCCTAGGTCCATAAAGGTTGGACTCCCCACAGACACGGATTGGAGTGAAGCCGACTCCACAACTTACTGGTTGAGCAGCACCAGGCTAAAGACCAAAGGTGACAGATCATTTGCTGCTGTGGCCCCCAGACTCTGGACCTCTCTCCCCCTGAGCCTGAGATCAGTGGACTCAGTGGTCTCCTTTAAAAAGCAGCTGAAGACTCACTTGTTCAGACGTTTGCATGACCCTTCTGCTGATTCTTCATCACTACCTTCCCTTCACGCTGAATACTTTTTTCCAGGAATCCCGTTCCTTTTCATTTTCTTTCTTCCTCATTTTTTTAATTCTAAATTTTCCAATTTCCCCATTTTTTTTACAACGTTTCAAATAATTTTTATACATGTATCTTTTTATCTTTGTATTTGTTGTTCTTTTGTGAAGCACGTCGTGGTGTTTATCTTGAGAGGACATATATAAAAAATAATGTCTTAAATTCTAAAATTAAAAACATTTTCATCACACTTACAGTGATATCCATTCCAAATCTACAATATTATTAAAAAGGCTTATATGTTTTTTATTCATGAGTTTGTTTAAAATTTTCAAATCTTATATTTTGTAGTTCAAAGGTCATTGTGTCCATCACAAAAACAAACCGCTTTCTCCAACTCCTTTGTTCCATCAGCTATTGAACTGCTTAACTCTGAGCCGGGAGGGGTGATGAAATAACAGAAAAGTATCACCGGCTTTAAGCATGTGCCATTTTTGGAGGGCTGCTGCTCATCCCCTACCCTTCATTTAGGATGTGTTCGGCATGTTGGTAGTGACACACATTGTGTGATTGTGTGATTGTATAAATGGATTGTTTGCTTGGTTGTTTTTATGAGCGAGTTATTCTGTGTGGTAAGCTACAAATTAATTGCCCCATGGGGACCAATAAAGTTTTCTGATTCTGATTCTGAAAAGTTTGTGTATCAACCTGTCAGCCCTTCATAAAACTCACACAGCTTCACAATTTCTCAATCTGAGGTGGACGGCCTTCATCTGACGACTTTTGAGCTTGATTGCAGGTGAGCGGTGCTGAGAAGGGACAACTGCAGCTGTTTCCAATCACCGAGGACGGCCTATGTAAGGAGCTGGCAGACAATGCTGGATGATTACTCACTTTTGGTACAACCGAGTGGAGAGTCTGAAGCCTGATTTGGAGTCCTTAACCTTTTCCCTTGTCTCCAGGTGTTCCAGCAAACGATCCGCTCTTCTACTTCTGTAGAGGGTGAGATGGTTTTTAAAAGACAGGGTCTGAGAGGCATTTCATCAGGCAGCGTGGGCTACACGCCTGCATGCTGTCCGTCTGCTCTCCCACAGCTCACCCTTCCTGGAACCGTTGGCAGCAGCCCTTTCGAGACACCAAGCCAAACCCTCATCTTTATGTTCACCACCTCCTCAGATTGGACTCCTTCCCCCCTCGAGCTCCCAGCGACCAACAAACTGTAAGCCTCATCTCCTGTCTTGCACCTTTGATCTGTCTGGCAGCCAACTAACTCCCCCCTTGTTTTCCAGAGCCTCTCGAGCTCAAACCCCTTCACCACATGTTGTGACACATCTTCAGTTATCCTTCAATAAACCTGTTTGCTTTAATTTTCTGTGTAGAGACTGATTCTTCATGTCCTGGGTCAAATGTCTGAACCCAAACATGACACACAGATGTTGGTGACCCCTGAGGGGCAACTTGGTGGTCATTTCTGATCATTTCTGTGGTCAAACATAACTGGGTCTAAACTGGTTCTGACTATGGTAAATGGCCTGTATTTGCTATAGCGCCTCCTAGAGTCCTGGAAACCCCCCAAGGCGCTTTACGACACAATCAGTCATTCACCCATTCACACACACATTCACATGCTGATGATGAGCTACGATGTAGCTACAGCTGCCCTGGGGTGCACTGACAGAGGCAAGGCTGCTGAGCACGGCGCCACTGGTCCCTCTGACCACCACCAGCAGGCAAGATGGGGTTAAATGTCTTACCCAAGGACACAATGACCACGGCAAACTGAGCAGGGCTTGAACAGAATGAAACACTGATAACTTGTCAACAGCAGTTTAGTAATTCATGAGAGGGAATGTGCTTGTGAACATAAACCCCACAAAAACATGAGATCCTTTTGCTGTTGGTGGAAGTCTCACATATTCAATTGATAAAAAGTATCATTATGTAGCTGAGAGAGAGAGGAAGGCCGCACGAGAAATGAGATGTGTGCAAAAAGGAGCCGCTTCGCGGGGAAAGGAGTGGCGCAAACGGAGTAACAACAAACAATTAGACAGATATTGATGGTAAACTTCATATTTTGGAGCGATCCGGACAGATATCTGCAGTTTAGTAGGCTTTTATTAGGCTTTAAGAAAGGGTGACGAGAAGGATAAATGTCCACCAGGCAGTTCAGATACTACGGATGTTTTTTGAACTGGAAGCAGAGGAAGTGGACGGAGACTCACAGCTGGAGTCTGAGGCAAATAGCGAGCGAGGATGTTGATGACGATGTGGCAGATCCACAGGTCTGTCTTCGCTCACGTCCGCACGTTCACACCACGCCCCTTGTCTTCTACTACGTTCGCGTCTCACAACAACACAATAGGCGCACCACACCATAGGGCGCGGCGTACATTTTGCAGAAAATTTAAGACTTTTAGGTGCGCCTTATGGTCATGAAAATACGGTACATAAAACCAACATTAGACTGTTGAAAAGCACAACAGGTCTTAAACATAACATTTGTAAAATTAATTTAAATAATTAGCAGCCATGTCTGTTTGTATAAATTTGGGATTCCTCTGTATATTTCTTAAGTTCTTATGTAAATAAATCCATTTATTCATTAAAAATGTTGCTTACCATTTGTTCAGTTATTATTTTTTATTTTTTTTGCCCCATTTAATCAAAATCAGTTTTCTATGTCAATATGACATATTTTCTCCTAAAGTGTTTTTTGGACTACAGGACTTCAACTGTAAGCACTACAACTGCAAATTTGTTTGGACCAATCAAAATCTTCGGTGTCAACATGCTAACATTACTTTTACAAGTGGGTATCGTAACTTTACAAAGTCCTATCTTCAGCCAATCATGTAGTGTGACGTCATCTGCAGGTGCAGGTCCCCGAGCCGATCTGGTACCAACACCTGCTACATGCCTTTGTGCTATTCTAGTTGCTACATTGACTTGCAATTAGCCTGGCTACTTTTCCTGTTGATCATCTTTTCTTGTTTTGAGGAGAGGGAATTTGAACAGGTGAGTTCTTTCCTTGCTTTCCAAATTGAAATAATTTTCAATATGGTATCTTGCTTGCTTGACTCAAGTTTAATTTTACTAGGAGAGGTTATCATGGTTAAAAAGCTCCTCTGTGGCAAGGCCCCAGGGGTGGATGAGATCCGCCCGGAGTTCCTTAAGGCTCTGGATGTTGTGGGGCTGTGTTGGCTGACGCGGCTCTGCAATATTGCGTGGACATTGAGGGCAGTCCCACTGGACTGGCAGACTGGGGTGGTGGTCCCCTTATTAAAAACGGGGGACCGCAGGGTGTGTTCCAACTACAGGGTGATCACACTCCTGAGCCTTCCTGGTAAGGTCTATTCAGGGGTTCTGGAGAGGAGAGTCTGTCAGATTGTTGAACCTCAGATTCAGGGGCAATGTGGTTTTTGTCCTGGCTGTGGAACACTGGACCAGCTCTAGACCCTTAGGGGGATCCTGGAGGGAGAGTGGGAATTTGCCCAACCAGTCTACATGTGTTTTGTGGATTTGGAGAAGGTGTTTGACC